CTCTGCGTTCAAGTATGTGCGTGTGGTAGTTAAAGGTGCAGGTACCGCTCTGCTGCAGCAGTGCCTGCATTTTAAACTTTCCTTGATAAGGACATCTAAGTGGCTCACGTCTCCAGAAGTTACGAGCTGAAGTGTGTAATAGACGTTTTTATCATCTGGCTGGTAGATGGGAGGGAAGAAAGATAGTTGCTTCAACATTGTCCTTCCCAATTGTGTTTTGAGGGGAAAAACCCAATGATTTAAATACTCCTCCGTCATATGTTTAGATGGGTCTACTGGTGACCACGCAGCTCAGCTGCTCTGCTTCTCTTGAGCTCTTGTCGACAGCGGGTTGTGAAACAGAAGCAGGACACTGTAACGACTGGCAAGGAAATCCCAGAAGTGCAGAAATATCCCATTAAACAGCATTAGACAAAAATACTTTTCTTTAAAATGGAAGAGTGCTTATCAACAAGTGTAGGTCACTGTATGTATTTTGGATTCAGCTATCTCTTCACGAGACAGGAAGGAAAACAAAAACCAAACTTTTGGCAGTGAGGGTAGTTCACTTAATGGATCAACAGGCATTTCTCTTCGCTGGCAGGGAGTTACTACTTGCCACAGACTTTCAACTTGTCCCAAACCATTAGTGAAGACGGAGTTTCAGATCTCACCGGAAAACATTTCACACCTTAAGAATACTTCATAAACAGTGCCCCCCAACCCCCACATCTCAGTGCGGTTGTCCTTGCAGACATCTTCTCTCTACCACATACGCAGGAAAAAAATTGAGTGAATTTTGCAAGAATTATCTCAAAGAAAGCACTAGTACCTTGAAAGATAAAAGGGCAGTATAGCCCACTGAATCTTGGTATCAATGGGGGAAAAAAACAAATTTAAAAATAAATAATATTTTTTAAAAAAATCAGATAGCAATTTTAAAGAGCCAAAGGGAAATCTGAGAACTTGTTTGAGCAAGTGCTCCAGAAATCAAAAGCAGCAGTGGTTGTTGTTTCTCAGGAAGTTGTTATTCTGTACATTCAAATTAGTTTTAAGAGAGGACCAGAATCAAAGTGCATTGGTATATTTAGTTCAAAGATTCTGTGGGTAAACTTTAGATTCCCAAAATACAGAACATAAGTTACGGATACTTTCTTATAGTCACTCAATCAGATATGAATGAGTTGTTTAGCAGCACGTTGTTCTTTAGCAATGTACTCCATAAGCAGCTTATATTTATCACCTTAGGCATTTCTACATTTTTCCCAAGCGTTCCCATATCGATACATGGAAGCTGAAGTGAATATGTTACAGATGGACACATTTTGAGGAAACACAATCCGTCTAGGCAAGGTCTTCAAGTACTCAGCACATGAAAGACTCGCAAAAATCTGAACTGAGACAGTGCCTGCACTACACCAGAAGTCATTGCATGTGTAGCTAACTGTAAACTTTGTAGGTTAAGGGTACATTTGAGCCAATCCATGTTCACTGGGCAATAAACAGGTCTGCACGTGGCAAGAACATACTCTTAAAAAACGTGTCTCATATGGAGTTCATGATCCAGCTGGGTTGAACGGTTTCAATAACAAGAATTTCAAGCACTTGATCATTTACTGGGAAGGTGGGAGAATATTTAGAAGAGTCACCGAGTAGCTACTTGAGAGAACACAGGAGGACATGCAATTTCTGTTAAATTAGGTGCTCTTGGAAAAGTAGTATTTAATTACACGGCAGGAAATACCAAAGAATTCTCAAGTTTGACCCAAGTTAGTTGTTTGCACTGGTAGGTAGTCACACACCTACAACAGACAAGCTGCAAAACCAACACAAAATGAGATCTAACAGTTGTAAGTTAGAGTATCAGTGAAAAAACTATACAGACATCTGATCAAAGCCAACCAAGGGAACAGGCTTGTACTTCAATGCTGTAGGACCCACTGGTTACAGAAGATACGGATGGTGCACAATGGGAAAATTGCTAGGAAGTCACATGCAACCATTTTGAATCAAATCTCAGATTACCTCATGTTTGGTTTTATTTTAATTAGGATTTGAGAGGAGAGTTTTCACCAATAAAGGTCTGAAAGCCTTTGATCATTCACTTTATCGGAATTCTATTTAATCTAATGAAAAAGCAAACAGAAGATCTGTTTACATGGACACCTCAAGCACAAGAGTTGAAAAGATCAAAGTAATACAATTAGCAAGAACCTGTGAGAGAAAGACTTAATCTCTACAAGTAACTTCCATTTCAGCTTCAGCACAAATGAGCTGAAATGTTCTTCCTCCAAGTGTCAAAAAGGTTTCTCTATTATTTTTGTTTCTTAGCTATATTACCATACCACTGCAGAGATCTGAAAGGATGTTTTCAGACGGGCAAGACACAGACTTCTTAAAATCAGAATTAATTTCACATTAAACTTCAGATTCTTAGCCTTGTAAGTTTTCATGACACATCATGGACTTCCATTAAGTAGCAGTGTAAAACTAAGCACCGGAAAACATACAAAGATGTCTAAAGGTACAGAAAATCTTTTATTAGAATCTAAGTCAATAATATAAGTGACCCAATAAAAGTCTTCCTCAGATGCTATAACAAGTATTGAAATGCCACGTTTTCAAGAGACCATCTGCTGTTTTGACATTTTATGACAATTTCCAAGCCTTCTAGCAACGTTGATTCTACCTCTTTCAATAGCATGTTTTGCAGTGAGGTTTTTTCCTCTGAATTGGCCATTGATTTATCATACATTTATAACGCTTTAGAAGTTCTTTCACATTTTACTTTGTAACAAGGTAACCCACATTTTCAGCACTTCACTGTTAAGTGAAATACGCCCATCTGATAATGCTAGAGACTAATTGTCAAAGTCAGAGCAATACATGAGCTGTTTCATATACTTATTCTTGACTTACCAAAAAAGAAAGGTAAGCAACACATGTTTTATTTGCTTAAACAGCAGTGTTCATACTGTTAATAATGCTAGTAGTATCATAAAGACAGCATTTCACTAGTTGTCAGAACTAAAGTCAAGTTTTGAAACTGAGGTCATAGCCTTGCAATAAAACAAGTCCTAATTATAATCAAGAAACAATCAAGGGATGTTGTGTCAAGAGCATCAAGAGAACTTGAACAAACTTCTTTCAGCAGATATTCTTTAGCAGCTCCCAGGTTGAAATTTCATCTTGGTCACTGGCATCCTACTGAAATCAGGATACTTGAGTTTTCATTTTAACCAGGTGGCTCAGTTTTCAATGCTCTGCTCATCATCTTATGAAATATAAACCACATCTACTGGTGTAATCTGAATGATACCCATGTTTGAAGCTTGAGATTAAATACATCCCTGCACAACATAAGAACTTAAAAAGTTACATATAACACAAAACGTTTCCTACCATACATAGCATGCGTCTGTTCATGCGCACCATACTGTGTTGCAGAAGAAGATACTAAACCAGGCTGTGCGTGTGTTGGTGGTGCCATCATTCTAGCGTTGCCCTGTATTACAGGGCTATAAACATGAGGGTGCTGCATTCAACAAAAATAAGAAAACAGACAGTTAATTGGAGGACCATTACAAAGAAACTAGTGTCATCTAAACAATAATTATGTATTTAGAAGCAGTAATAGCTTGGCCTTAATAAAATGCAGAGCAAACTAAAGATTTCATACTATCACAATTATCCCAATTGTTTCTAAAAATTTAAGGACATTTTCTGCAGCGGGCTAGAAACTGACAAAAACCATTGGCATATCTAATTTTTGCCACTCTAACAATATAGTAAGCTTATGTATGTAATTATATATTTATCCAACTACATATGTATATTTAAAAGCCTTTGAAGTAAGAGGAGTACATCAAATAGTTTATTTTTAGAACACATAACTAAGAGATGTCCTGGCCATGACCTGAAAGGAATTGTCCAAAGAGCTAAAAAGGTAATATCGCAAATAAATGCCAACTTCTAAACTGACCTTAAAATTTGTTACAGGCTTTGAAGCACATTACAACACCACCAAGTATGCTCCAGAACACAGAAACTGTTCAGAGTGACTTCTCACGACTGGGGACAATAGCGTACTTAGGACTGAACCACTTAATTATTTCTGTTTTGACTTATCACATACGCTAAAAGGACTCTTACCTGAGATTGGTAGTGTGGCACATGCTGCACAAGAGGCTGATTAGGAAACTGTTGGGGACTATATGCAACATATTGTGTTGAATAAGCAGGTGGCGTAGCTACAATTGGAGGGCCTGCTGCTGAGGCAGGATGCATCATGGTGCTCTGATGATGTTGGTCTTGCCGTTGCTGTGGCATATTTGGTACTACAAAGCAAAGAGTGCCTCACATTAGAAACACAGGACGAAGAACGACAATCTTCCTGAAAGGTGTTACATTACAATGTCACTGTGACCAAGTGGAATATCCTCACCCCTCACCTTTAACCACATATTAGAGCTCTATCAAAAAGGAACAGCATGAAAAGGAGTTCCTCCAAGAAACATTTGATTTTCATCACTGCCTTTGAGCCACGTATACAGCCACAAACCCAGGCCCGCTTTTTTTGTGAAGGAAGGAAGAAAGGTGGAGGGAGAGAAAGACTGACAAGAAGCAGTAACGGAAGAGAAAGGTTGTATCAGGATACCTACATTAATCAAATTTGATCCTGTCCCCTTCAAAAGGCTTAATTCAGCCTCTGTGGGAACTACTCGGCAACTGTTCCATCAACTGGAAAGCTGAGTCTGTTAAAATTACTTGTGCCTATGGCTGAGGAGAACAGAATAAAGGTCTCCACAAGCCGCAATTTGAGGTATTCACATCTTTGAAGCTCTGTGCTACCCCTCAGGATAGCAGAAAGCAACTTTTAGGTCACAGTCAACACTGAAGGGGACAAGTCAACCTATAAGAAGAAGAGGAGTAGGAATAATTAGAGGGAAGAAAGATTAAGAGAGCCGAGCACTGTAGTGTGGGACTACCTGAGCTATCCTGGTAAGACGACCAACTGAACCACAGCAGCAAGGCACTCAGAACAAACTAATTCAGCCTACTAAGCAACAGGGCATGAAAGTTCAAGGTGAGCTCCAGCTGGCTGCAGTGAGACTGCAACTAGTAACTATGCTAACTCAAGCACCTGTAAACTCCACTGCAGTGTGCAATGTAGACAGACCCCTTAGAGAGAGGAAAGGAGGGAAATGTTGAAGATGTCAGTAAATTCACTCAATGATGATTGTATTTACACTGCAAATCAACAATAGAAAAAAGTAAATACAGGACACAACTTGAACACCGTAAAGGCACTGAACTTTAACCCATGCAGCTCCTTCAGGACTATGCTGCACACAGAATGGATATGCAGAAAATAATGAAACTTAAAAAAGGAATTAAAAATAGGAGAGCGGCCTCACGCAGCAAGTGAGTACGCAGCAATATATTTCTGATTACAACAATCAGTATTACCAACCAAAAGATTTCATGGGTCAGGCCACAGTGAAGTTAGTGTGTTTTAAAATAGAAATACATTACAGGTTTTTGTCTTCCCTACATTCATAAAGGCTACTTGTTTATTTCTAAACAGCAGAACTGCTCTTTTAAACAATTTCCTCCTCCAGTGACTGGAGCTGCAGCACTGGAACCTATCATCATGAACCACTGTATAAAATTGCAAGAAAGCACGCACTGTGTAGAATTAAAGCATTATCTGAAACATGACTATAAAAACAAGACCATCATTTTTCTGCTCCTTTGCTGCACTGCACAGAAGAGAGTGCATCTCACCACACGTTCTCATCTCCATAGCCACAGGTGTCACTTGTTAAAAACATGGTATTGTTAGTCTCGCTGTTCAGTTACTGTTGCAGAAGGAATGCAAAAGAACAAACTGGAACCAGCAGTAATTTCTTTCCAAAAGAGTAGCATAGCATACTCTTTCTGAAGAAATACTGATTTTGCTTGTTGACAAAAACACCCTCTTATTAAAGCACCATTCAGGGCTCTTGCTGTAAACCAGTACAGAAAACCAGTACAAAAAGTTCACTTTAAACAAACCCGTAACGTTTATGAAATATAGGAGATGATCAGCTTACCCTAACGTTCCAAGTAACACAGACGTTTTCCCGTTTGTCAAATCAAATTCCAAACCAAGTAACTCCCCATTACTCAAACTTATCATGTTTTGGCTGAATTAGTTTATCTAGAAATGCATTGGTATTCCCACTTACTTCCCTTTATTAAAAACAGCATTTAAAATATCAATCAAAAACAAATTAACATGGATTAGAAAATACACAAACATTTGTAATTTATTCAAGCTGCATGCAGACTAAGAACCAAACAGGCAGTATTATTCTCACCTTTACCTGCTCTATATGTCTTGGCTTGGTTCACTGGCATGGGCGTCATGGGAATAGGATACAAAGGCTGAAACAGAAGGAGGAGTTGAAGCTATGATATTCCTTTAAAAAGTGAGTGTGTGTCTGGGTGGGGGTCCCACTCAGCTTTGATGTGTTTTACTCTGTTATGTTACATGCTTTGGTGAACTCTGCCTAAGCTATGATATTTTCTTGGATCACTGTGATCAAGTCTGCGTGTACAAACAACTAAGATCATATGGTTTGCAACAACCAGCCAAGTAATGATACTACTGCTACTTCAAGCAACGTACTAAAATCAGACAGCTTTATAACAGTTAGATTTGAAATCCTAGTAGTCCCTACAACGACCAAAAACTAGTGGGACACAGCTGGAAGCTAAGGATGAAGAAAGAGTTGCTTAAAACTTAAAAAGAGTAAGACTATGCTTGGAGGACTAGGGACCTAAGTCTGCACAGATTAACAATAAATAGAGTAAAAGCTGCTGGAATTTACAAGAGTTTGAGACTATCAGAACATCTAGGTTGAGGGACCACTGGGAAAAGTCAGTATTTACATAGCTAAAACTTAAAAACAATGTAATTGTGCCCATATTTACAAAAGTAATACAAGCTGTACCATTTCACTGTTTTAACTTAGACCTCCTAAGTCTCCTCAACTTGCTGACAATCATCTGAAAAGCGTTAACAAGTTTGCAGCACATGCTGCACTTTACCTGCACGCCTGGACTCACTGGAACCGGATACATCATATTTGGTGCAAAACAAACAGGCTGAGTGTACACTGGGGTTGGCTGCTGATGACCCACCATGGAGGGGCTAGGTTGAGCTTGCGGACGAGGGGAGGTTGGCGTAGTAGAAGGTTTCGGCTACAAACAGAGTTCAGCAATGCATATGCAAGATTAGCTTGATGATCCTCCAAGTAAAAAGTTTGCTTATAAAGATCTTCTCAAAGGCAATGTTAAACAGTATCAAGTAACTTACTTGAGCAAAAGATCGAGGGTTGAACTCTTTTGCATTAGGATTAAGTGTTGATTTTCTAACTTGCCTAAACATAAAAGAACAAAAAATGATGTTCAGCATTATTCTTTTACAAGCATATCTGCAGAACTCCCTAACAATTAAAAATTTAAAGAGACGAAATACCTCATTTCCATCTGTGAGTCAGATTTTTGAGAACTCAAACAACACACGGCATGCAAAAAGCCACTCTTACTGACAGTACTCTTACTATACTTATCCATAAAAAAGTTTTCCTGCTGTTGATACTACAGCTCACATGAGCCAGGAAAACATTTAAATAAGCATTTAGATATGAGTTAGGCATCAACAGGACCAGAGTCCTATATGCAGCTCTGCCACTGACTCATGAGATGACTTTCAGTACAGTCATTTCACTTGTTGTTTTCTCTGTAACAGAGAGTACTTACATCGGCCATACAAACAGTAAGATATTACACATTCATAATAGCTTTTTCTACAAATGGCTAAATGCTAATAACAGATGTGCTTATTCTAAAAGGCATAATTACTCACTCAGAAGTATCTTTCTTCTCCTCTTTATCCTCTTTATCTTGTTTACTTCCAGGCCCAGATGTCTGTACACCTTGTGAAGTTACCTCAGGCCCTCGCTTTTGCTCAGAACTATTACTTATTGAAGGAGAAATACTCGGACTATTAGGTTTGCTACTGCCACCATTAGAGTTAGTACTACTGCCAGTTTCTATGATAGATTCTTTAGGGGTTGATTCTGTCTTTTCTTTAACTACATCTCTTGATTTTTCACCTTCTCGGGTTTTGTTAAGCAGCTGATCCACTGCATCTGAAGAGGAACTCGACTGTAACTGAAAAAAAACCCAAGGAATATATTCAGTAAATTGATACACAGAACTAGGGAGAGACAATCTAATGCTATCACATACACAGAGTAAAATACAGTCCCCACAGGCCTCAATCATCTGGAAACGACCTTTTAAAACATACATTTCCATTTCTGCTAGGAAAGAAATCTATGAACATTGACAATGTTTTAAGCCTACGCTGTGAAAGAAGCTATTCAGAGACTCAGCTGACCTACACGTTGATTAGGAAGTGTCAGGAAAGCTTAAGACAACCCTCCGGACTCATCCCCCTGTGTGATTTAACAGTAACACTTGAAAAGCTAACCTGATTTAATAAACCATTATAACCAGGAAATAAGTATTATGAATGAATCTTCAATCTTCCTCAGCAAAACCCTTTATTTAACTTTGAAACAGCTCTTCCATATGGAGCATAAATGTAATAATTATTTGTACCTAATGATCAAACAGGTTTCAAGTACTGTTTTCAGCATACAGTCAATATGCACATTTACATGTATTAGGCAATTGTACCAGCAATAGTCAGCATTGATTTTATAATATCTAGCATAAATTCTTATGGATATTTTCATAAATTAAGCACGAGTAGTAAGGACCTGTTTTCCTGTTAACGCATGCAATGTATTAAATTCATTAAAATAATCTGGATGCACATGAGAACTATGATACCATTAAGTTAACATACAGAGAAACTTACCCTAAAGTCATTCTTAAATTTCTTTAAATCATCAATCTGTTTTCTATGTTCTGAAACAATTGGAGATACACCTGCCAAATAGAAGACGAACATTGTCCAAGCATTTCTAATACAAGTTTTATATACAACCCATACATTTCTAAATTTGCAAAAAGGTAATGTTTACATATCTAAAAATGAAATACAGTGATATAAGTTCATCTGTAATTTGGTTTAAGTCCATGAACTACGTGTATGAGCACACAAAAATACTCTGTGAAACCATGGCATTACATAACTGACATATCTATAGTTCCAATGCATCACACCAAGACAGAAGCCCTGAAGTGCAGGGACTGCAGAACTCAGCTGAACACAAAGAAGCATCCAATAAAACTCTCAAAACATAACATGCCAGCGTTTCAAGACATAGCAATTAAAGGTGGAACACTGATCAGGTTCAACAACATGAAAAGATTTTTTTGAGAACTGAATGAACAAGCAGTGCTGCAGAGAAAGCCAAGTTTAGGGCATAGTAGGAAGAAGTACAGTTATAAAAAACTATGCTGACCATGATGCTCAGAAGTATTATGAGGATAGCTCTAAGTAGAAACACTCATTCAGGCCAAAGAGAGCTAAAAAACAGCTTTGTGAGCAGGAAATAAAAAATGGAAGGAAAAAAAGAAAAGAACAAGTAAAAAGAAAGCACACCGTCTACACGAGCATCTCTACACTTTGTGTTGATGAAATGAGTCAAGAACATTTAAAATTGTAGGCCTGCCATTTCACAACTGCATGACCAAATTTTCGCTGTAGAACACCCAAGCCAGATTGCCATTGCTTAAAATGCTAACTAAAGCAGTCAATATAGCAGGTTTAGTGCTTGGAACTCCTACATTACTCAAGTATGTATGAAAACTTTTGATACAAACCTTTGCTTTCAGGTTTAGGAAAACTAGGAGAAGTCTCACTTGGCTTTATATTCTCCTTGTTTCCAGTTGCAGAATTTTGCCTCTGGTCCTGAAGCCTAGTATCTTTAGCTAGAAAAGAAATTGCCAAAGTTATTCTCTTACACACAATTCAAACTGACCAAAGAGAGATGGCAAGATAGAAACAGAAGAGAGATTTAACCACGTTTAGCTTACAAAAGAAAAACCCAAAGTTACACATTTTCTGCTACCTAGTTAGCTCCTGGAGGGTTATCCTCCTCCCTTCCCCACCCTACCGTCTTTAAGCCAAATGAAAAAGTCCCAGTCAAACACATCCCTCTCATCACAAACAGAACCTTAACTAGGCTGAAAAAACTATAAACTGAGAGCAAATTATTTTCAATAGTCCAAGCTCATCATACAGAATGCTACAAAGATTTGAGAGTTCTTAGCCATTCGACTGTGCTATTGAATTTTTTTTTCCCCTTCCTTTCGCTATGCTCAAAATATTCTTTGAAACCAGCGGCCTACGTTTTTTTAAATTAGAAAATAGACAGGAACTCAGTTTGAAAAAAAAAAAAATCCTCAATTAAGTCAAACACCTATAAGCCCATACTCCTTAAAGGGCAGAAGAAATTAAGCATACAGACTTATCGGAAAGCCTCTCTCCCACCTTAGTTTAAAGCTAGCATCATGAGAAAAGGGGAACTCACTACACAGTAAAATTAAATGCATCAGAAGTTTTCCCATCATTTAGAAAGCAGCTTTGCTCTTGTATAGGCATATTCGTTGTCAGGGATTAGGGAAAGGGAGCATTTGCAAACTAGCAAGGGTAACTTACCTTCGCTGGAAGGGGTAACTGCTCTGTTGGATGCAGGGCTGGCAGGTGTAGGAGAGGCAGCTGGAACAGGCATGGCAACAGATTCAGTGGGAATAGTACCAGGCTGAGGAGAAGGCAGAGCTGGTCCCGTGGGAGTGCTGCTCTGCCTTGGAGACCTAGGCCTGTGTGTTTTAGGGGATAATCTCGGAACTAGAAACAAACAGGAAAAAGTAGTTATAGGGTAAGTAGGTTTCCTCATCTGCTCAGCAGTTTGCTTATTTTTAAAATGACTGAAAACATGCTTTAAAAGACTTAGTGGAACATTGTATAGTAATTAAAAACCTGTTTACCTTTCAGGTACATCTCCTAGTTCTTTACAATGCAGCATTTCAGATAAGTGGTGTGATTTTTCTGCAGATTGTCCCCTAATATATATCACTGCCCTGTAGTCCCACCATGAAACTGCAATACGCTCCCCAGCCCCCCAGTAGTACAACTACAACAGCTCACATTAACACAGTTTCAGGCAGAACAGAAAAGGTGGTCAGGTCTCCATATAAACAGATGTAAAACATTTTTAAAAGGGCTGAAAAAACACATCCATTTTACAGCGTCCTCTTTTGGAGGTTTGCCAGCTGGAAAAAAAACAACACATCCTATTGAAAGAAGATTATTTGATGTATATTTTTGCCCCTGTGTTAAAGCAGCAAGGAAAGTTGTATATTCTTTAAACAGTAAGTTCTACCTCCTGCTTCCTGCTCATCCCACTGTGGCTAGTTAGTTGCTTTACATCACATATTAACTTCAAGTGAGCGAGGAGAAAGAGAGATAAGTCTTTTAACAGTCCTACTTGCATGTTAATAATATATAAAGTGGGGGATGGGGAGGGAAGATGAATCAGAGATAATGCCAGAACAGAAGAGTTTAAATCTTTTCCACAAGGCAACAGGTCTATGGGGGTCTAATTCATACCTTCTTTCTGAAAAATGCATTCCAACTACACTCCTCTAGAATTCTAGCACTGCTAAAAAGTATCAGACTCCAAACTGTCACTCACTTGCCCTTCGATTCAAGAACGTGCCCAGCTGCTGACGACTCACTAGAACACGGCCTCAACTACAAAAGCTCGAGACTAGGGCCTGTGTCACACGACTGAGCTTTAAATTTGAAGTCAAATATTAAAAAAAGATGTTAACTGATTCAAAAAAGAAGAGACACTGACTAGATCTGCTAATACAGTACTTAGACAAACACAAAATGACCACTTAAAACCTGCATAATTTTTAAAGGAAAAATATATCCAACTTAACTTGAATATCATTTCATCTTCACTTTTAACACCAACCTTCCTCTATCCAAACACCTCCTTCATTTGTAAACCACAATCCAGTTACACTGCCGTTAACCAAATTCAGTGATGCAATGGAATGTATGTAACTTTTCTTCTTTTCAGAAACTTCCCTGAAAATTACTTCTTTCAACAACTAATTCCCACATTTTTCCTTCCTTTCTCTTCATATACCATCTGACTTAACCTCTCTGCAGTTAAGACAATATTGCACTTGAAGGACCGACTCGCCAACTATTTTACCAAGCTATCTGGGAACATCCTTCTCCCACTTCATCTAAGCAAGCTAAGTTAGTAGACCAGTCTTTATTCAGAGCCTGAATTGTCTAGAAATGCAGTATTCTGCTTAGCATTCACACTCTAAAGTACCCCTGGCAAGCCATCTGCAATAAGCCAAGCTTTACCTACCCCCACTGACAACTGATGACCACGTCCCACCTGAAGGGCTGCCTCGTGCCACTGCAGTAGTAGATGCTTCCCCTGGTGCATTATGAGATACAAATTCTAAGCCACTTGAAATTGTACCCCTACCAGTAGAGACTCTGTGACCTCGAGGGTGCCGTTGTGCCTTAGGAGACATCCGTGGAGGCCCTGAGAAAAAGAAGACAACCCCATACAATAAGTACTTAACGTCCATCACTAAGAGTACCCAAACATACTATCTGTTTTTAAAACTGGATTTAATCTAATAACTCTCAATAATGCAGTAATACAGTCAAGCAATTTACACTGACATCGACTAGAACCGGGGATCCACGAGACAAAAAAGGCCAAGCCATTGGTCCAGCCAGACTACCAACACACGCATCACCTTGCTATGACAGCTCACGTTCATTGATATTTAGAAGCTTTATCAGAATTGAAACAGGTATGCAAGTCCTGGATTTAAAATATTTGAATCCAAGTATCCAATATTGCTTACTGCAAGACAAGCTAAAAACGTTAGTGGCCCAGCTCCCTCTGGATAAGCACAGTTCCAGGCTATCAAACATTTTCCAGAAAAGAGAAAATTTCCATCGCTTTTGTCACATGGTCAGTGATACCAAACATTTATTTACAGAGTAGTCACCGCTGGCTGACCAATGCTCTTGGGGAGTTTCAGCAGAGCATTCTGCACCGAGGCTAAATTGCCTGCAGCAGGTCACAATTCATTTACAAGTCAGCAAAATTGCAACTAAACAAGTTATTGTTATCCCAAGGTTCAAGTCATGCATGTTTAACGCCAGAAGCTAAAGTCATAAGTGAATACAGTAATTCTGAACGGCTTCTACAGCTGCCACAGAATAGTTATGCTCAAGTCTAAGCAGCAATACAGTTTCTACATCCTAACATTTTCTTTAGAAGATCAGACTCAAACGTTCATACTTCACAAGTTAAAACTGTGTATTGTGAAGACAATCTGGCTGATTACAGTTCATTTTTAATGTAGGTCAATAATAGAGAAAACTTCAGATAATGGCTTTCTGGTTTCAGAGAAGGTTCTAAAATATCAAGTACCTCTTCTGGTTACATCAATCTTTAAATGTCAGCCTCTATTTTAACCATGAATCTGAAGTACACTTCAATCAAAATTACATACATGCAAGTATTTTAAAGAATACACACTTTCCAGCAATCCTCTTCTAGTAGCAAAAATTAAATGCTGCACTAAGCAGCAGTTCACTGCATGCCTGACAAATCAATTGCAAGTGCTAAAAAATAACTGCATATGCATGTGGATTCTCAGTACCTTACTACATAAAAAAAGCTCACATTGATAAATTGACAGTAGCACGCTGTACAGACATGCCTACTACCATCCACTTTCTGGTTATGGACCATCTCGAGCATTTATCAGGCAAGCTGCAGAACAGTGTTACTGATTCAATTAGTGGGACGACTGTTCTCGGTCCCGTGGCTCCCATGGAGCCAGCTACAGCAGAGACTGCAAGTTTCCAGTGAGTTTAGTATAACCGTTTTGCGTTTTTCCAGGCTTGCTAGACCATGCTGTGCAGGCTAGTTTTTAAGTGCACTTAAATAAAATAAAATAAAACAAAAATTTTAAAATGTACCCTCAGAGGACAAATAAATTTAGTTCAGATACTTCTGCGTACAGTTACCAAAGACTCATGGGTTAGCCTTTCTCTGCATATTACTGACTGCCAGGGAGCTGTCTTACTGTTCTGCCTCAATGCAAACAGATCTAAAGTTTTCTACAGATGCGCCTTTGAAGCAGCTTATCCTATTCCATTCCACAGTGCACTTCTCTGAATACAGCATTTTTATTATTATTACTGTTTTTTTACAAAAGGTAATTCAATGTTTTAGTTGAATTTGAAACTGCTCTTTGTGGGACAACTGTATTAAAATATTTGATATTTTATATAAATTTATATTCCTAAAAATGCCCTCTAAAGTTATCAGGTCCTGCATGTTGCTGTGGGTTAAGTTAAGACACTGAGCAGCGTTTACAAAGCTGAGTTTATTTCATACCAACTTGGGAAATTTCGCAGCTTTATTTTGTTTTTGTAAAGTTCTTCAAATAAAAAGGTTAATAGAAATAGTCTGATAAACTAAAGTTAAACACAAATTATAGGTTAAGTAATGAAGAGGAAAAACAATTTTGTAATTAAACTCACAAAGGAGTTAAACAAAGACAAACAAAAACATGAACAAATCGTGGTATTGTACCTTCTGAAGACATGCGTTTAGGCATAGTAGAGACAGGAGCTGGAGAACCATGAGCAGAGGGGTGAGACGGGGGCCTGGAGGGCCGCGAGGGGGGCCTGGAGGGCGGCCGTGTAGGGGTGGCTGCCCGAGGTGGAAGAGAGTTGGGACCTGACTGGTAGCGAGAAGGTGGGCGAGAGGAAGGAGATGGGCAAGGCGATGGCCAGGGAACACCTGACAGAACAAATGATATGAAGGAAAGTATAAAAACTAAAGAAAAATTATGGGGAAAAAGGTCAACAGAAAAAAAAAGTAAAATATGACAAAATGATTTTTCATGTTTAACCCTTTGGGGATAGATTAGTTTATTTCTGCAACCAATAAAATAGTCTCTGCAAGGTTATTTCCTCCAGTTCAAGTCAAATTTAACATCTGAATATCACAAACTCCCCAAAGGGTTAATTAGGATCTACAAATACTACTAAGGAATAGACAGTAAAGTTTGATCTGTTAGCCTATCATATATATGTTCTACAGTATGCATCACTCTTGACAAGGTCCTTAAATATAGCTACCAGAGGTTCTCACACAGCGGTTCACATATACTATTGACTATACAAACTGCTACTTTCAAACGAAATGATGAGCAATATCAATTCTAGGAACTGTATCTTTACAAAAAACAGCGGTGTTCAGTGTCTGAATCCTGACGTTTATGCCTTTATCAGTTATCTGAAGTATTAATGTAGTATTTTAATCTAGGATATAGGGTTCATTGTTTCCAAAACAAAGAAATTGAATTCACAAGCCATTCTGAATATTTTAGGTATATGATGTTCATTCAGCAGAGTAATAGGATGACAGAAACCACAAATACTACAAACAAATTTCAAGGTTAGCATGGTTTGGGCAAGACTCAGTTGTACATCCTTTATACAGCTGACTCTGTATTTGAAAAGGAAGTCTCACTTACCTTTAGATGTTTCTCAGACTTCCTCTCCAGATAGAGGCACTTGACTATTACACATTTTTCATTTATTCACAGCAATCTCATATAATAGCATTTTTAACTTATAAAAATAATGCCTCAAGATAGGCTACTGCTGAAATCCATCTCAAAAAATGGTGTTCGGTTTACGAAACACCGATTCCTGCTATACAGTGCCTAGTGATGTCTGTTTATAAATATTACCCATGTGTATAGCAGAAAATACTCAAATACCTATTTGGAGAGAAGGCTTTTGATTCCGTTTCCCCTAACACTTCTCTTACGTTCCCAACAATGATTTTTTTTTCCCTCACATCATCGTAAAGTCAGTGAGTTGCTTTATTCTTTTTAATGGGAAACAGAATTGATCTGTGCACCAGAAAGGAAGAGTGATGCTTCCTTGGCTGCCACCTCCCTTTCACTAGGTGTCAGCATTGCTACTCCTCCACACAGAGCTTAGCAGTAGTAATACATCAAGCAATTTTTAATCCTTAAAACCACATACTGCACCATCATCTAAGACAAAGGTGTTTGAGAAGAAAAACAAGTGACATTTCTGCTCCGCAAAGCTACATACGGTGCAGTCAAGTGAGTGTTCCATTATGAGTAAGTTAAACCCAAATCAAAATCACAACCTCTGCATTAAATGATGAATGCTAACCTAGCTTATGAAAAACATATCCTAAGATATGTTTATATCACCATATGCAGTTTCAACATAATGAGATAATTGCCTGCAATTTTATAAGGCACATTCATTTAGACTTCAGATACTTGCCTCCGTTAACTACTCTCTGATCTGCTCCAGAGTTAGGACTGAATTCTGAAGTATGGGATCCAGACCTTGAAATTGGTGGGCCTGATCCAGACTGGCCCATCCTTGGTGAGTTTTGTCTTCCACTTCCCCAGGACAGGACATCTCTATTCCTCTGTCCAGGTGGAATGTACTTATTTTCTCTGAAACACAGCAAATTTCTATCAGTGTTAAGACAGAACTGAAAGACAATGAAAAGTACCTGATCAAGTGCCCTGCTGATACTTTCTACCTTTCTCAAATCAAGCTAAAGGAAAATTCTATATACTATCAGATGTTGACCTAACATTCACCTCATGAATTGGCTTTTGATACTGACCACAGAGTCCACTTTCTACAAGCCCACAGACGCTGAATGATTTAGTACCAATGCCTGAAATTCTCCATGACATACCGAAACCACTGCCCTTTCCTGTAATTTTGTATGAATTCGCCGCAGTGACATATCAGAATGGGGAAGTCTGTTTCACTACAGAGATAATACAGGGCCAGGCAGAGGCATACAAGTTAGCACGGGTGCCAAAAACAGCACATGATTGTTTACACAAGGTTCCCAACCTAATCAGCCCTGCTGAAAAAGCACAGTTTCAATGAGTAAATTGCTACTGTACCAAAATATGTACATCATTTAAATAAAAATACTATTCATAGTGTATGCAAGTACCTAGTGTTCACACCATGTCCTTCTCGTTCATTAGCATTTCTCTGAACAGCAGTATATTTCTCTTCTTCTGTTCTTTCATCATTTTCCAAGGCAACCCGAGCTTTGTATTGGGCACTTGATTCAATTTCCTCTGCTAATTGAGTTGCTCTGGCTTCCCGTTTTAAAAACTCTTCTGAATTATCTCTTTCTAATGGCACCCTAAAAGACAATGGAAAGGAAAAGAATCTCTGAAACACATTCAAAAGCACAAAGGAGCTACAAAAATTACACAGCGTTACTTCTAACCAAGTCAGAGTAAAAAAACTTGCTTTTAAGCCACCAGACTTGCTGTCTTTTTTACTGTAAGTATGTCAATATTCCTGGACTGGTTTGGTATTATGTGCAAATTCAGTGTCATTTACCTGCCTAGAGAGCTGAGGTCAGGGTGCAGAGCTTTTCCATATGACTTGCAAAATCCCCAGTCCCTAAAGCTATGCAAAGGCTCCAACTTCTAACACGGTTGAGTACATTAGGAATAAAAAGCCTTAGTCTGCTGTTTAGATAGGAAGCTACCGTAAGAGACCAAATTTGAATTTCTTTAGCTATTTACACATTCCCAACAGACACAAGAGTCCCCAGTCCTATTGAAATTAAAGAGTTACATGCTTAATCCTTTGATAATTCCAGCCACAGAATTTCAGCTCTTCCTGTTATGAATAACTGCAGAAAAGATGAATGCAATACATTAGAGCACGGGACCAGAAACCCATGACTCATTTGCCATGTCCTAGGACCTCAAAACCATTCATTCCATCTATCTATATTAGGTAATAGCATGTTGCAAAAAGCATACGTAGCTCCCTTAGGAAAGCCACCAAGTAAGAATTCAATACACGAGCAATGAAATACTGAAAGGGATAACTAGAGATGGACATCATACCTGGCACTTCATTCTGTCCACCCATGGTTTTGGTTTTTACCTGTTCTAATTTTTGTTAAAGTACCAGGTTTCATAAAACAACTTTGCGCTTTGTCCCCAATTCTAATTTTGAGTTCCAAAAGTCGTTTCATCCAATCTTACTTTAGAATAAACTACATAAAAATGAACAGAACACAGCTGAGGCTTGGACCATGCTATGCTGAGCATTATATTATCACTACTGCACATATTTTGAATAATATAAAAAAGAAGAACAAAGAAAGTAGGTGGAGATACAAGCCAAGTATGAAATAATATATGCACGATTACTCAAGTGTTGGTGGCAGAACTAGGAAAACAAGTGGCTTTGCCAAATTCCAAGCCAGCACTCAGTTACTGCATCACAAGTTTTTCCACACACACACATTTTTGGCCAGTCGAGACATCTACTGGTCTTATCAATGGTAACTGCAAGAATATTAAATAAAAACCTTACCCTTCAGCGTAAAGCTTTGGCTCAAATAAGATATGCATGAACACAGTGCATACAAACCTGAAGTCACGGGCCTCATATACCCTGTATTAAGTATACACACAAGAAAGGAGAACACCCAATAACAACCTCATTTATTTAAAGTGACTGAAAAAAAATGAAAGGATGTATGCAGTGGCACTGATGGCAACCTAAACAAGCGGAAGAATGATTCTACATTTTCTAACAGGGAAAAAGCCATTAAAGATGAAACAAAGGGGATGGGCAAGACGACATTGTTCAGAACCCCGGTGATGAGAGAAGCATGTACAGCAGCTGATCAACATACTAATGCAGTACACTTGCTAGAACACAAACTTGTACCTTTATGCAGTTTGACAAACTATACCTGCTAACGCTTAGCTCTAGGAAAAGAAAACAATCAAACAATAAATCCTTCACAATGCGCTTCAGTTACACATATAAGCATTTAGCTACACTGCTGCTCATCACATACTTGGAGAACCAGGAAAGGAGTTTCCCAGTTTAGCAAACTGATAGGCAAAGCAAGTTGCTTGACTAGGAAACAATGGAATTTGTCACTGGCAATTCAAAGCCACCTTCATGTTTTTAATCTGTTTCCATTAATATCCATCAAGCAGAAAGATGGAAGACTGAAGTTCAAAAGAACAAAAAGTACTTAGAGCAGTGAAGTATACAAAAGAACAGCTTCCCCAGGATTCAAATGTAAGCCGATTAAGACACTTTGATTATCACCACGCTACAGGTCTATTTTAACAAAATGGTAAAAATAAAATTGCTGAACCAGAGACCTGTAGACAAGTGCTCCAATTCTACATACAAAAATCAAAATATTCACTGCAGTTCCTTGACATTCAAAAATAAGTTTACACTTTGGGGGTTAAAAGAGTGGGAAAACATTAAAGACATTTCACAATGGCTGTTGAACATCTGCAATTGATTTGTTTTGCAGTTGCAGTTAACATTATAGCTGCAGACTATTGGGAACAGGTCCACACTGCCAAAGTAGCCAGAGCAGGCTTTATACTACTTCTATATTCATGTTGTTACTATATTGTAACTAAAACTTTAGTTTAGATCAGGACAAGTCCACTAACCAAGTCATCCACAGTACACAACCCCCCCTTAGTTATCAGCAACATTTCAACATTCCAATATCTACCAGATCAATTGTCTCAATAAAATTAGGATTTAGTCAAACTGTTCTGCTAGGTTAAACACAAATTATAGGTATAGCAGCTATGTAAAGACAGTTTCACAATTTGGTGTTTTCCACCTTATTCATAAAAGTTTTTGTAAGAAATAAGCATTATTGCATGCCTAAATTCAGAAAATGTTGCAATGGGAATGAACTGTGCCCATTTAAGGGAATATATAATGATTACTACATCTAACTATTCACAGAACGCTGGCAAGCTTTCTTAAGCACTATTCATTCATTGCTTTTTCAGTTATTCGATTCTAGAACTTTAGAAAGTATGTAAGATTATCTTCAGAATATAAAGCTTGTCAAACCAGGGAGAACATTAAATACAAATCTAATAACAAAATATTTTGGAACTTACGTGTAAGAAGATAAACTGCTGTCATAAGTTGATACTACACCATAATTTTCTTCATTGTAACGAAACATGTCATTGGGATCCCATCCATTAGACTAGAAGAAAATGATGCTCGTTTTTCAAAATGACACTGGAAACACATTCCCTTAAAATTAAGGGCTGATGGCAGAAGTTAAACCTTTTGCCCTTTTTCACGGGCCTATGGATTCACCGTCCAGATAACAAAGTTACTAAAGCCACAATTTATTTCATGGAACTTTGTTCATCAGATGCACAGATTTTACCTTCAAAAACCATTTTTTTGTTTGTTGTGTGTATTTGTGGGTTTTTTATGAGGTTTTAAGTACCACGCCCACTCTGTATTAGAAGATTACTGGCTAGCAAGAAATACATACATTAATGCCTTTTCCAGAAAGTGCAAATTGACACTTCTGAACATTAGAAATGTCCCTTGCTGTGGCAAGTGCTGAAACTTTTCAAATGCACTACTAATGCAATTACCTGAGAGACACACACCACAGGCAGAAGACCCCTGTTGATCTGCACAACTTCCCCACTTTAGTAAAACTGCTATTACAGCACTCAAGCACAACGATAAATGTTTTGAATGTTTTATAAAAGCACTGACAGTATTAAGTATTCTAATAAATCTCAGCTGTACAATATGTACACTAGAATTGACAGGATAACTGTTCTACCCAGACAAAGTTAATATGCTCCACAGTAACATGACTAGATTCTCCTCTAATCAGTAATATTATCTTCTTTCTTTAACATATTGCAGTCTGAATACCTTACTAAAAAGAATGCATGGTTGAGTAAAAGCTGACTGCTATGATATATAAAGAAACGTCATTTGAGACCATACTCTTCATCTAACAATTCATAATCTACTGAGATTGTATCTGTGCTTATTAAGTCATGGGTCAGACTTCCATCAATTTCCTTCATCTTAGCTCAGAGACAGTTAGCTAAGCACAATTTCGCCATAATTTCCAAACGCAATGATAGTCAAACAGGAATGCTCTGATTAAACATAAATCACTTCAACGTATTGCTGAATTTGGAGTCCTTAATAAAAGCTCCTCTTTCAGCCAGTCCATGAGTCAAACATGTCCCTTACCACAGCAGCTGCCATTTGTCAATATTTGCCAAAAGTGGCATTTGAAATCCAGCTATTCTTATTCAAATTGTAAAAAAGTACTGTGGCAGCTGCTAGCAAAGACTGAACATACACCCATACAATGTAGACCAGCAATTTTAGTCAAAAGTTCATTACTAGATTAAAATTAAGGAATTGTTGCAAGGCATGTCCAGAGAAATATCTTATTTTCTACAGACTGTCATAGATGATAAAAAAGCATTACTTACAACATCTGTCTCTAATGCCTCAAGCTCCTCAGTAGCGGTGGTCTCTCCTCCATCCCATGGTTCAAGATCCTTTTCCTTGTGTTCACCATTTACTTTAGCACTGATGGCTGAATCAGTAAAAGCATCTACAATGGAGTGGGGAGGGATGGGGGTGAAATCAATTTGCTTAAGTACAGGAAGATGTACACACTAGTTTATCTGAGGAACAGCCAAATACAGCTGAATCGCAGGCACATTAAACATCGTTCACCTTCTCTTGTAGTTGCTGTATTCAATAGGACTACATTAAAAAGGTGCCTACTTCATACTTAGAATAACTATGGAAGTACAGACTAACTTCTAATACATTTGTTTACAGGGGTTTTTTGCAACTTAAAGTATGAGACAAGGCATCAAAGAATAGCAGTAACTACTTTCAGTGATTTCAAAATATTTTACACAAACTACATGTGTTTTTGCTAAAAAAAAAAGAAAGAAAGACTACCCGAGGATCCCCATTCTTCTAGAAAACCCAAGACTTGTATAATATACTTTTCCAAACAGCCCACACAACTGCACGCTAACATGTTATACAAATATCAAAAAAGCATGAATGCAACCCAATCTCATTCCCTAAATAAATGGGCAGAATACAAGTTTCCCTTTAAATATCTGAGTTGCTTCTATTTCCACAACTACTCAACACATCAGCATGCACGCACACACTTTTACTCCCTTTGCAGTGTAACTCAATTATCCATTAGCTTGGTGCATCCATTCACTGTGACATGAACGGAGATGTCCTCTTTCCTGCAAGAGCTTTTTCAAGAAGCAGCTTACCCAAATCACACAGCAAGATTCAGAAACTCTACCTCTTGTTCTCAACAACATATGAAAATAAATATACCATTAGGTGCACTAAGCAGTAACAGTCTGCTATTGTTTATATAAATTATAAAAATGTATATAAAAAAATAAAGATCATGAGCTTTTATTTTCACTTGTTCATCTTTCATTCAAACCAGACTTAAGAAGGAATAATACTAAAATATTAGTGCTATAAAAAAAAAAAAAAAATGTACAAAGCCATTCATCAAGGGAGCCAAGCTTTTGTATTTGTAAGCAACTAAATCTCAGAGCTGCCTGCAAATTCTTAAATTACTTAAACAGAAGGAACTTTAAAAAATAAAATAGGCTTGTTAGAAGCTTGTAAATAAATAAATAAGCCTAAAATAAATCAGCCTTCAATCTAGAATTTCCTATTATCATACTGATAAAATAAGGAGCAAACATTTCAGACCTTTAGAAAAGATGAGATCAAACCACCAGGCAGAGCCAGATATGGAAGAACGTGGCTTAAATTATCTTTTGGCAAGATCTGAAATCTTACTAAGAAAAATGAACTTTAAAGCCATCATGAAAAGAATTCACAACATATGAAGTTGGCCACTGATGTTACAGTTTTTAAACAATCACTGAAGATTTTTTAAAGAGAGACTGCTGACATAGCTTATTATTAGCTTATTATTCCTGTTTTACCCAATTTCACAGTCAAGTTCTGTACATATATTGGTATGATCTGTCATAAAAGTTAACTGTGCTTAGTCTGTCTAATAACATTGCGCACTATCTCATGAAATGCTTGCTCAACTCGTACACAAAGACCAACGGAACTATGGATAAGCAATTAAGCATTGTTAATAAGCATATATGAAACAAAATGTTATAGAAGATGTATGAAAAATAAGAAAAGTTTATTGGCTAAACATTCATTTCAAATACAAAAGAATCAGTAAAATAAGAAAAGAAAGCCAAATGAAAGAAAGACACCTAACCAGGCACACCACTGTTAGGGCTCATGTGAAATTGCAAAAACCTGCATCAATCACTCTGCGAGACTTCATAGGCTGCCAACCAAAATTGTGACAGTACCTACAGAGCTGACAGTTAACACTTTCACGTGAGATTATATTTTAGCTTGTCACTAAATGCAATGCCTTTAGCAGGCACATTCTGGGATTACTTGTAAACTGTTCTGAAACAGAGTCATTGTATCATTGTATTACCTACGTGCTGACGCAAAATTTCAATCATTGCATTTTCAACTGTTCAGAATAGGTAAGAATCAAGGGTGAGAATAGAAGTCACCAACTAACTGCAAGATACTCTAAATGATTCTGTGAAGTTACGCATGCATGTTTTATAGTGCCATAAATGTGCGAGCAAAGATATTAAGTTTCCGTTATATATTATGGTAACAAAAGCATTATGAAAGGCAAGATGCAGAGACATAGAGTGACTGCCAAAAAAAGTTACCTGTTTCTGAAGGAACTACAACAGATATGGAGAGAGAAAAAATTGGAAGACATCAGATATAAATACAGGTGGATTTTTTCACATTATATGGCTGAATTCAGGCAAAGCTAAACTCTTTCAGTCCCTCTCACAGACATATTCAAACCGATTATACATCTCCCACCTTGCAAAGATCATTTTCACAGTAAAACCTCAGCAATGTTCCCACCTGTTACAGTCCCATGTATTTCCCCATTTTGCTTCACAAATAAAACCCCTCCAAACAGCCTACAGATTTCTAAGATATACCAACTTAAAAGAAAACATCTCTCAGTTTCCCTCCACACAAACAGCTTTTAAAATATACTATAACAGAAGGTATGTTTAAATGTCATCTGAAACTACATAGTATCACAGTGCTACCTCAATCCACAGTTAAGTAGTAACCAAAGAGGACATTTAACAGGGAGGCAAAAGTAAGGCACTTGCATTTGGAAGCTCTACATTTACCTTATCAATACCCCGTACCTAACGCTGTCATAACCCAGACAGACCAGTGCTGCTTCTGTGCCGAACATCATTAATTCAATTTTTCACGTTTGATCCTCTCAGATTGGACATTTTACACCAAATGCAAGTTGGAGGCCACTTATGTCACCAAAGAAACTGTGAAATTTGCTTCTACATTACGTTGCTAGGAGTAGAAGGAACCCTTCTCCAGTAAGATTACATAAATATGAGTTAGGAGGACTGATGAAAGCACCTGATGGAGATGATGATCTGTATTTCAGAAGGGTGCTTCCTTAATTTCTATTAAATTACTTCAGACAAACTTCATACACAACTGTGACATTTTGGATACTGTCAATAAAATACTAGCTTAACAAGACTCATGTACTCAACCCACTAATTTTCTTATTTAAAAAGCCACATAAACATTCAGCAGAGTGCTGTTAAAAATTATAATGATACAGATGAACTGGGGGGGAACCAAGTCAAAACAAAAACTCCGCTCTCTAACGAATGCTACAGATCTGAGTAAGATATGTACAGTCAATGCTAAGTTTCCTAGTAGAATCCAGTATATCATGGTGCATAGGAAGCTGCACTGCTCTTCATTTCTCTCTCACTTTAGAATGCAAGTCACAAGTGAGACTGCAACATCAGTTTAATCTCTACAACTCAAAGAAAATCCAGAGTTAGTAGAAATTCAAGCTACAAAGGCAGACTTCTAGTCAGACAATATGGTCTCATGAGCATCCAGGCAAAGTTTAAATGTAGCACAATGGTACCCCACGGCACAGATCGCTGTTTTCCTGGAACAAACAGCTAGGCAGGCACACGGGACACCAAGATTCAAATGCGGCAAGTCAAACAAGACTTTACCAAAATTAACAAGCAACAAAATTGAGAACATATGTAAAAAATAAATTCTACAAATAATTGTTTTCAAAACAAAAATACTGCTCTTAAGATTATTAGTAAAGTAGAAGCTAAAACATGAACTGCTGGCAGAGTAATAACAGACAAGATACTGACTGCACAGGCTCAGCCTCCCACTTATCTGGTGCCTTGTATCTCCGAGCTGTTGAATGAGCAATTCGTATGACACCTTGATATGGCCAAATTTTTAATCAATTCCTTTTCTACAGGGTAAAACCCAAGTTAAAGATCAAATGAAAACTGGTCAAACAAAGAGCTTGAGCTGTAACACTCGGTTAGCCCCCACTGCCTCTGTACCTGCTTAATGTGACATCTCCTAAGCAAAGAAGTTTGATATCAAAGACCTCGCTTCTTGTTTTAAAGCCTGCTAACCAGAAAAAAAAATCCCAAGGACAATTCTCTGCAACAGAAATTCACATTAAGTAAAGGCAAATTAAATGTACACATTCTGAGAAAAACTCAGCTTGGGCAAATTCAAGTGTGTGCTACTAAATGAGTTAAAGAAAAAATTGCCAGAATAGAGCAATTAAGAGTCCGGGTTTAATTAATTTCAGTGTTTAACATGCTTGTTTTTGCAAACATGTTTTGAGCTACTAATGGTGAAGAGCACAAATACGCAATTAAGTGCAACTCAGCAGTTCAAATGCTATTAAACCAATCGTCACTATGTGCCAAAGGTGTTCATGCTGCACACTGCAAGCTTTGATCAAGTTCAGCATGGGCCAAAGTAAACTGAGGTTTCATCTTAAAAAGTTTCAACAGTAAACTCTCATTTGTTTTGTAACTACTTTCTACTGATGTGAAACATTAAAACTAGTTACCACCAGCTTTGCAGAGCCAACATTTCCTTCCTTTGTTCATAATAGGCCTACTGCTATTCCCCTTGCAACACCTTTCTCTGGAAGGATGCCACTTTCAGTGCTAATTCAAGGAAAAACTTAAATAGCCAATTCTATTCTGCCTTTTTTCATTACATTTGTAGTATTTTTCTCAGAGTGCGGTAACAGTGCCAAGAAAACAATAAAAACATTGTAGAAGCCTTTTACTTTAACAGTAGTTATGAATTGTCTTGTCTTTAAAGAGAACCCAAGAAGGCAACTCTGAGGCCTTACTCAAATTTGAATCATATGCAAACCAGCACTGTTGACTGATCGGTGTTTAGGACTACAGGAAACACTGCTAGGAGCTTGTTCTGTACAACACAGGAGAAATATACCCTCCTATTTCAATCATGCAGCCCAAGTAATCTAGGAACTACGAGATCTAGACACTTCACCTTTGCCTCAGAAGGTGAAGCAGAAAGACGTTACATGCTAATGTACAGCCAAGGACTTCAACTTGCACATTAGAGCGGATTTTTAGCAGTCGACTTCCACTGTCACATGCAGAAGACAGTGCCTGTGCCTCTAAATGCAGACAGAATAGTTTGAAAGGGGGATGATGGAAATAAGCCAATTTCACCTGAGTTTTCCAATGCATGTTTCATTCATCAGCCTGCCTGTACTGCAGAAAGCCTGAATTCCACAGCGAGAGACCCTCAGGTGTCTCCTTTCCATTCCTTCTGAAGCCTAACAGGAATCTACACGAGCATGAAGGTCTATGCAGACTGACAGAGTTGCAAATAAGGGCCCAGGAAGTAGGAACAGATTTATTTTTTAAAACATAAACTGTTAGAACGTCCCTATCTACGCAGACCTACTATTTTTTCTCCCAACCCTTCCAATTTCTACAATCTGGGCAGGCACCACACTTTCTCCACTGCTGCGTCTAAAGGTGCAATGTCATGCTTGGCACAAGCAAATCTAAGACTGCTGCTTCCGAACGGGGTGGTTTCACCCACCCCAAGCCTATACTGTTGTTACCTCCCCTGCACTCACACTACTGATGTAGCTGCAGGATGAATTATAGGCTCACTGCTCCAAAGCTGCACAAGTACAATAGCAATGAAAGGTGCTTGGCAGACTATTTCAGATACTTCTTTCAGACACAACTGTATCTTCCACTCTTCTGAAAGGAGAATCCATCCCATTCCCTTTCTCCCCACCTGCTGCTCTTTTCCAGTAGTCTTACAGTCTCTTCTGTCTCACTTGGTCAGACAGGCAGACAATGCAGCTAACAGCTCTGCTATTCAAGGCTGAGGCTAAGTCAGAAGATCAAGACTCACAGTCAGGAGCACCATTTGTCCACACTCCTCCAGCTCAGCAGAGAAGCAAATGCCAGAATAAAAATCCATACAACTCCAGATACTTACACTGAACCAGGAAACCAGGATGCACTAAAATTTCCAAAACAGTACCTTTTGCAGAAATTAAGTTTACTTCAAGGCCTCCTCAAAAGTCTAGTAGTCTCCTAAGGGGTAGGACAAACTACATACACAGACCCCAGCAAACCCTACTCTAGGTAAGCCTCTCCTATGGCAACAGAGTGCTTGTGAAGTGCCCTTTTGTTTGACTACATTTTTAAAGAAGTGAGAGCAAGCTGCCTTTCCAACCAAATACATCCAAATTGTCTACTAACTTGTCTGTGAAAGCCAAAAAAACATTGAGGGCTAGGCAATTTAAAAATATTTGTTCCTGGATAAGTGCAACACTGTCAAACTTCTCTGGGCACCAGACAGTAACCATTCCCAATACAAACGTGGCAAGGAACACCATCTCCTCACCTAGGAGTTCAGACTCAGTTTTTACTGTGAATCACACAGGCTTATCTGACTCAGTATCACGAAGATTTGGGTTTATTTATAAGAACAAAAGGCCAGCAGTTCCTGCATGCATTTTCATACACTTCCATTCTTTTGAATCCTTAGTTAGTTTCCCAAGAAGCAGAAAGCCCTTCGCTGCTCTAATTTGCAGGTGTGGTCACAGACTGACTTAAACTTTCAAGTGTCATTTCAAGAGAATACATTTTTGAGACAAAATGGAAAGCAGATTAATTTACCCACTACGAGTTATCAAGTTTTGCAGCCTTCCAGTTTATCTTGCTCCAAGTCTCTACAGCTTCATTTCAGCTGTCCTCTCCAGCTACTTAATAGATTTAGATTCTAAGACATTCCACCTAATAAAGTGAACTGAGCGACTGTTCAACCTGAAGCAGTCATTTTCTTCTAGAAAACTTCCACTGAGTAATTATTCCTAGAAGTAGTAGTATATTCTTCATTCTGTCTGCTCAAAATCTATAAAGATTGGGTAATGGAGAGCCCAGTTTGCATTTACATTAAAGTGATGTTCATAGCAGACCCATTATAAAACAGCTCTCGTGTAATTTAAATTCAAAGTCCCATCCAGAACCTGGAACTTATCTGCATTTCAACGCTACATTTGCTCTGACATTATGCATCTTCTTCTGGGAAAAGCAAATTCCTTGAAACAACAAGCCTCTCATTCTTCAGCTTTAAATCAGGCAAGAACATATGCACATACAAACACAAGGTGAAAAGAGAAAGATCTCATTAAATGTCCACCAGTCCCTATGCATCTCTAAGTCACTGCTACATGGGAATAAACCATGTGCATTACAATAACCACTTAGCTCCCAGTAACAGTTGTTAATCAACCTGAAAATGTACACATATGCAATTTCACTCCATGGCACACAAAGCTATGTTTTTGCTTTTATTCCTTAGCCCAGCAAATCAGGAACATAAGCATAAACACCCTTGAGATTTGCTGCCCAAAAAAAACCTGCAAAAGAACTGGAGCTGTCTGACTTATGAGCCTCTTAGGTTCCAGAAAAATAATTAGGGTCTTGGAGGGCAGACATTAAAAGAAGAGGTATGAAGACTGCCTGACTGCCTGTAAAATTGTTTAATTCCGACAGTTTCAAGCCATGTCTTCAAGATTTTAAGACTACTTGCCTGCCACCCCACTAGGTTCTTCTGTATTTTGGAGAGCCTTACCTACAGATCTACAAGTAGTAAAGCAGAAATTAAGAACACAAATAGTGGATTTTCTAAGAATTTTTAGCAGTAGTATTTTTAGAATATTTGTATGAATGCACGTTTAGAGACAAAAGTTACTTAACTAAATATAGACTTTAGATATACGCCAACTCTGAACAATGATTTTTTTATAAAGAATTTATATATTCATGGATTCTCATATAACATTTAATAGACAAATTCAGAAAGACATTTACAAAAAAAACCAACCTCCCACAAAATCTGTAAAAAATTTTGTTAACGCCACTAAGTGTTTGCTTTCCAGACACCTAAAACAGCTGCTCAAAGCAGTGTGCCCTCACAAAGGTTCTGCAATCTATTTTTTAAATTTTGATAAATTTCTGATTTTGGGAGGTGCTGAGCATCCGCTCTTTCTATTGACTTTAATGGGATAACTGGATGTTCCGCACTCATTAAGAGTCTAAATGTGAACTTTAGTTTTTGGATCCTAAAGCAGCTACTTTGAAAATCTTGACTTATGATCTAAGACATAGACAACTTTAAAAACAAGTATACCTCTTCTCGCATAATTGGTATCCATATCCTTAAAATGCACCATAACAAAATCTGAAGACTTGAACAAGATACTCTCTAGTATGTCTTCACGTTTTGGCCCCAAACTGGATTCTGCAGTTTTCCGATGAGCAGCATCAAGCACTAAATCACACTATTAGAGATATAAAAAGAATACACTAACTTAATGAACAATAAGCTATTCGATAACTTCACATACTTGCAAAAAACAGACATTTACAACAGTTTGCAAAAATGAAACTGCTTGTGTAAACCTAGACATTAATAGTCAAAATAATTCATAATAAATATGCAAATTTTAATCAAACATTGATTATTCAGTATTAGGATCTTTTAGGGAAGAGTCAAAAAGAAAAAAATTACCTTAGGACTGTAGGTTTTAAAAACTCCTTCATATATACCACCATTTTTCACCTGTACTTCACATTTGGATCCCTAGAATGCGAGAAAAATGAAAATACAGCTTTCTATGAGGCTGACAAGTGACATTTGAGTTATTTTCTCAAAGATGTATTTTTTACGTAAGTACAATGTGTAAAAATACAGCTCAGTTTTTAGTCAAATCTACTCATTCAACATTTGCCCATTTATAAATACACCACTGTGTTCTGCAGATGCAAACAGCTGGGTGTGTACCAAAATTTGTTCTGAAGGGTTTTAAAGATACTCACAGAAGCATATTTGGTACTCACAAGACTCTTGACCAGTTATGCACACAAACAAGTTTTTGTGCAAAAACAAAATCTGTGCATATGTGTGGGTACAAATAAGGATGAAGGCTTATCCTGGACTCTAGCAGATGTGGGACAGTCTGCCTTACTCAATTTTGGCATGTCAAGACTTCCCTTAAAATTTGGGGAGAAAGGCTTCCACTCCCTGCACACAGACTCATTTTATTTATCCATAACCTCGCTAGAGACAGAAAATTCAAAATATGACCAGTGCACCTAAGAAATCTCCTATACCTCTGCAAATTGTATTTGAACCTTTCCAAGCCAAAAATACAGAATAGCTATTACTGTGATTCTTTAAAGTTCAATCTTGGCAAAAGAGCCTACTGTTAAAGTTCAATATTCACTCCATTGTATTACAATTAGTGGACTAGTTAACAATTCTATGTCACTATAGAAACTGTTTACCCTCCTTCCAAATATGAAGACTTACAACAACTGATGTAAGTATGTGAACCATTCTCATGTTTGCATAGATGCCATCAAAAGAAATCTGAAAAATAAAAAAAGATTTCATGAATATGAGAAATACTTGTAATAATTCAAAAAGCCAGTGCGCCAAAAATAATGCAGGGTTTCATCAGTACATACTAGTTCCGAGAAACATTGGTCCAAAACCTCACTCAGTCGATATCCAGAGAACTTAGGTCACATGAGATTTCTAGAGGACCCTTACCCCTTTCTCTGATCGTTAAAGATCTGAACGCCCTTCCAAACAAGATAAACATTACAGAGTGCCCCTAATGTCACGCAATAAAGAAATTCTCTTGCTGGTTGGGTGAAGCTCGTATGCACAGACTCCTAACTTAAAAAGCCCTGCTAACATCCCTCTCTGGCTTAAGAACCATCAACAGGATAAGGTACTTCAAATGCTGTAGAAGTAAAAAGG